AAATATTTTGGTGATTTTTTATGAAAAAAATGATTTATGATAATTAATTAAATAAACCTAAAAACCCCAATTAATTTTAATTAATAAAAAAATGTTAATTTTGAAAAAAAATTAATTAAAATACCTAAAACCTAATTAATTTTAATTAATAATAAAAAAAGGTTAATTTTGAAAAAAAGGTTAATTAAAAAAAACCTAAAAACTAATTAATTTTAATTAAAAAAAGGTTTAAAAAAAAGCTTATGTGTAAGATTAATAAAAAAGAATTAAGTTTTCCAAAAAATAGATAGGGGAAGAAGCATCGGTGAAAAATAGGGTTAGAAAATACAAATAATGCAAATGTCAGGGGTGGATGTTGAACCAAAAATAAATTTAAAACCTAATATTAAATTTTAAAAAAAAACCTAAAATTAATTATTCGAGTTTATTATGAAAAATCAAAGGTTTGTGAAAAATATTAAGTTTTATAGAAAAAGATTTTAAACAGAAAGAATGAAAATAGGTAAAAGGATAAATAGAATGGAAGAAAATCAAAATCTAATAGGGGTGGGTGTTGAACCCACGCCCTTAGCCTCCTCAAGATGTCTGCCTTGCCATGAGTCATGCATTGGTTGTTATTCTGTTTTGGCCTCAGCGTTTTGTAATAAACCTGTATGGGACCATTAGATGGTCCAAACCTGTAGTGTTGAATCTCATGAACAGATTAAACAAATTAGTATACCATGAAATATAAAGAAAATAAATATATGAAATTTTATAATGTTAAAACTGATATGGCATGTATGAATGCTTCTACACCCTTTTGATCATGAAGATCAAACCAACCTTACTATTGCTGGAGAAGTAGTGAAAGTAGTGAGATGGGGGTTTGTAACGAGGATGACTTGTTTGTAGTGAGATGGAGGTTTGTAACAAGGATTTCAAGATTTTTAGGGTTCTTGAAAGAATTTGATATTTTGACAGAGTTGTGATAAACGTTTTTTTTCCTGTCCTGTTTGTGTGAAAAGAATGAGATTATATAATGGAAATTAGAGCAAAGATATGGACTTTGAATGTGCAATTGGGCCTCCAATAACCACAAGCAATAGTGCATATTTTTATTCATTTCAGGCTAAATCACAGGGACTTAAGTGCAATTTTTGAAGTTGAAATGTGAAAACAAAATGTAGCTGACATCGAGAACTAACGCCTATCCTAAATGGGATCAATCAGATAAACAGTGAATTAGTTATGAATTTTGGGCTCCAGTGTCAACTCTGACACGTTCTTCAATAAAAAACTGGTATTGATCGGAGAAGAACCCGGTCTCGACTTTGGAAGCAAAGTTGTAGATTTCTGAGTCAGTGACCTTGTGTAAAAAGATGGGTCTGATCCGATAAAAATTGACCGAGTTATGAATTTTCGAAATTTTGACCCAAATGAAATAATATTCAGCATTCAGGATTTTCAGCGCGTCACGCGCACTCTGGGAAAAAACAAAGGTCTTTTGGATACCTCTCAAACTCGATACCTCATGTGAAAATGTAGCCAACTCAATTTTTGAAATTTTGGCGCTGGAACCAGCTCGATACGATGAAAATCGCCCAAGTTATGATTTTCTGAACATGACGCAAATAAACTTCTGTCACAAATTTTGTGTACGAAAATACTTGATAAATCCACATTTTTGAAGACCTTCTGATCGAAATTGGCTTCCAGTCGTGAGAGATGAAAACATAGATGACGTCAAGATGGAATTTTGGCCACCGTAACGGGTTCAAAATGAGCCACGATATTCAAGTTATGAATTTTTTACTGTTTAAAAACTGCACTTTCAGCACACTTTTTCACCATATTTCTTCAAGAAAAATCGCATATTCGGAGACCTTCTTTAAATAATTGGCTCTCGAGCCGAACGTGAATTTGAGAATATGTTATCAGTGATATTTTGGTCAAAGAACACCTGAATATGACGCACCGGGTTGGACTTGTGAATCTTTGAACCCCGAATCATTACGAAACGGCGAACCGATCTTCAGCACAAAAAATACTCTGAGAACATCCATTGGCGAAATAAACGTCACTTGTAACCTGACGAAGCTTGCTAGATATACCTTGATTCCATAACCATAAAACCAATGATATGCATGTATATAATAATGAAATATAATCCAAAAAGATCGAAATAAAAAGGGTAAATTTTGGGGTACAACAGTTTGAAATTGTGAATGAAGAAGTTTGATTGAAATTATTTTGCTTGAGTCTTTTTGAGTTGATCACTCCCTTAAGTTTAGGAAAGTCTTTGTTTCGATTAGCTTTAGAAATTATCCCTTGTTTGTTAACCAAGCCACATTACAACCTTAAAAAGCACTTGTGATTCTTGTGTTTGTAATTTCAATATGAGTTTTTGGATGAATGCATAATTTAGTCTATTGTTTGCAAGATTGTGGATGAGTGTTTTTTTGTCCCTCACCTTTGTGTGTTATTCATCTATCGATGAATTTTTACTACGTGTGACTCATGATTGAGCTTATTTTGTTTTAGAATGTATAATATGATTTTTGTACTTAGGATTCGTTTCGGTTACATGTTGTCGTTGTAGTATTTACCTTGTGTGTGCATTTTTGTCTGAACCCTACATTTGTTTTCTGTTTTCAAACATATTGATTCATGATATTTTGCTCGATTATTTTTGGTTCTTTGACTTGTTTGACCTTGTTTGAGGACAAATAAGTTCAAGTTGGGGAGAGTTTCATAAGTGAAAATTGTAGCTATTTTTGTATATACTTTTTGTTGTACTTATCGACTCTTTGTTGTTAATATCAATGAATAAACTCGACTTTTGTGTAAATACGTCTAGTTTGTGTTTATTTGTGTTTTTGTATACATAGTGTATCATTTGATATTTTTCCATTCATTTTGTAGGTATTTGTTTCATTTTGGAGCATTGAGGAATAAGGTGTCGAAGGCACGGCTCCGGATGCGCATTTTCAGAATAAAAGACCAATTTTGGGAAGTTTTGTCTAAGAGAGCTTGCTTAGCACGCAGACGGCTCCTAAATGCGAGTGCGCTCATCGCATTTTGTAGCGCGCTGTTTGCGTTTTAACATTTTGGCAAAAGCATTATTTTGAAGAACTCTTAGCACAGATAACGCACTTAGCGTGGTTTAGGGCGACTTGATGTGTAAAATAAAGAAGTCGCGCTTAGCGCGCCAGGCCCACTTAGCGCGGTCTGCTGAGATTTGTTTTATAACTTCAGATTTAGTTCATTTTTAGGTTATGTTTTTGGGGAAGTTTTTGCTCCCAACTCCATCAACCTCCAATTTTCTTGGGATTACCTTAGATAACAACTATGAAGCTTGCATACGGATGATCCGGGGTGGATTTCTCTTTGATCGGCATAGATAAATCGGTAGATATGTGGTTCATTTCTCTTTTTATTTGTGTATTCTCTTTTGGTTGGGTTTATATATGTATTTACTTTGATCTTATGTATATTTGTCGCCTTGACGTTATATAAAACTTGCTTTACAAATCTTTGTCAATTGTTATCCTTGATTTTCGCTCTGAGCTAGGGATTTAAGTTGCTATAGATATATATATTGCTTGGATTCTTATCTAGGGTGATTATCTAATAGTGTCTCAATTCTAGAGATAGATTTAAGGTTGTTATTCACGTAGGGTGTCTGTGATTAATGCCTCTGTATTGTTTGTGCCGCTCTGAGAGATCGTCGATGCAAGCGAGCACCGTTGACTTCTGTATTGTTGAGGTGGTTGAGAGATTGCTACCGAGGTGATATAATTGGCCTCTCAATTTGGATTAGAAATGACTTAGGTCATGAGTGACAATGACATTGATGAATATTGTAAGTTTAGTATAACAAGTCGATAGATTTAAGTCTGTGAGAAGTAGTATATATGCATGCTTGATAAGTTATTCCTTTTTCCTTTTTATAAATTTATTTTCTGTTGATACTTTTCCTTTCAATTCATTTATCTTCAAACTCATTAACAAGAGATTTGTCGAACGACAATTCAATTCACTAATCTCTATGGACACGATATGATATAACCTAAATATCACCTGGTAAATCAATAACTTACTTTTTGCTTGCCGCTTTACCGTATCCAATAATGTGTGCGAGATCATCTTGACCATTTTATTTATGCCGGTGTTGCTTGGGACTTTGGAATTCTTCCCGTCATTGAAGTTGAAGCCTTAGCTCTCAAAGAGTCAATCCTGGAAGCTATATCGTCACAATTAGAGTTTGTCACTTTTGAAAGTGATTCTCAAAGGGTAGTTCAAGCTATTCATGCTAATAGCAAAGGTGACTGGAGTCTATTTCTAATTTATTTCATAATTTTCCAAACTTCGAGATTAAGTTTATTAAACGTTAAACGAATATGATTGTTCACTTTTTTGTAAGGACAACCAATTCTTAAGTTCAACGCAGTTTATTAACTATGTCTCCTCATTGTATTTAACACTTTTTTTATTAATGAAATACATTGATTCTGATGTGATAAAAAAATATCATGTAATTTTTAAGACAATAATAGTTTCGAGTGTCTATGATGTTTCTTGGCAGGATTGTGAAGGAACTTTGCCAAATAGTTTTTGGAAGATTGTGCTTTGTGAGTTGTTAGGCTCTAGCTGTTGTTTCGTTAGTAGTAGGTAGGGGCCTCAGTTTTATTTGCTTGTTTGTGGAACTGTGGTGATCTTTATGAGAGAATCACTTCGTTTGTTTTTAACCGGAAATATCACTTAATACAATTGATGTATTTATTTAATACAGTTGATGAAAATAATAAATCACAAACATTGCAATAAATTTGGTCAAATACAATTGATGTATTTATTTAATACAGTTGATGAAAATAATAAATCACAAACATTGCAATAAATTTGGTCTAATACAATTGATGTATTTATTTAATACATATGATAAAAATAATAAATCACAAACATTATAAATAACCACCTCTAATATCTATGTAGTTCATATTGGTGTTTGTAGAAGAATGGCAAAAGAGGTGATTCTTTTGGATAAATGGGCTAGCATGTATGGGATGAGGGTTAGGATTGCATTAGCTGAAAAGGGTATTAAGTATGAATCCAAAGAAGAAGATTTTAATAATAAGAGTGATTTGCTTCTTCAATCTAACCCTATTCACAAGAAGATTCCAGTTCTTATCCATAATGGTAAATCCATTTCTGAATCTGGAATTATTGTCCAGTACATTGATGAGGTTTGGAATCACAAAAATCCATTCTTTTCCTCTGACCCTTATGAGAGAGCTCAAGCCAGATTTTGGGTTGATTACATTGACAAAAAGGTAACTTTTTTTTTTTTTTTTCTTTTAAATATTTTTAATAAAAATATACTCATTATTATTATTATTATTATTATTATTATTATTATTATTATTATTATTATTATTATTATTATTATTATTATTATTATTTATCTTGAATTAATATAGGTTTTTGGTACTTGGATGAAAGTGTGGCTTTCAAAAGGTGAAGAATATGAAGAAGCTAAGAAGGAGTTGATTTCTATCTTTAAGACACTAGAGGAGACATTAGGTGACAAGAGTTTTTATGGTGGTGAGACATTTGGATATCTTGATATTGGTTTGATCCCTTTTTATAGCTGGTTTTATACTTTTGAGACATATGGTAACTTCAAATTTGAAGTGGAGACTCCTAAACTTGTGGCTTGGGGAAAGAGATGCATTGAGAAAGAAAGTGTTTCAAAATCACTTCCTGATGAGAACAAGATCTATGATTATGTTGTGGCTGGCAAGAAAGCACTTGGGTATGATGATTAGAGATTTTGGTGAATCAAATTAATAATGTTTGCATGTTAAGTATGTTATTGTTATAATAAGATCTTGTGTTTTGGTAGTATTTTGATTACATTATACTAACATGTACTTGTTGTGGTTGCTTGTTTGATGTTGCACGATCAATAAATTATCATACTATTTTGCATATAAATGTTTTTAAACACCCTATCATTCCTTACTCCTCTCATGGACTCAATTTCGCCAAACTTGAATGAAAAATGGTCTTTAATTTTATTTTGAACTTAGTTCAATTAAATAATACGTCTTTTTATATAATTAGTTTATTTTAAAATAAATTTAAATTCTAAACTAAATTATATTAAAAATACGAATATTCAATTATTTATCATAGATATCTAAGAATTTACCTATTTTAAATTATCTATACTCTCGAATGAGTATGAAAGATTGTTTTTATCTAATGATCAACTAGATTCAAGATAAATATGTTTATCTCTCTCTCCTTATTTTTTTATATTTATCATTTCTACTTAAATTGATATTTATCTTAAATTTTTTGTTTCCTAATCTTTTTACATTCATCATTTCTTTAAATTGATATTTTAATTTTTTGAAAAAATATTTTTAACTTCAAAATAATTCAATATCCTTCACTATTATCACTACTATAAAACACGTTAACAACAACGTTATTGTCATCACACTGTTCTTTCTACACCGTGGTGACATATCTAAATTAAGGCATTATTGTTGCGATTGGAATTTAAATCAGAGTCGCCACTATTAGTTTTTATCCTAGGGAAGAGAATCTAACAGAAAATCTTAATTCGTAGACATACCTTGTTCACAAGGATACTAGGTTTTAGGTTTGAGTTGGGGAAACAAGACTTAAATTTTATTAGGGGTTATGTTACCCTTCGGGAACCGGATTCTCGATCTCAAACTTTACGATTCCGCCGTTAATTCTTCTTCTTTGTGCAGTTTACGGTGATGATTGGAGATGGTGGTGATACGGCGGCTGGAGGCGCGGCGGAGACGAGGCCGATTAGGGTTTCGGATATCGAAACCCCAATCGCCGCTTGTTTTTCTTCAACAACAACTGGATATTTTTTCTTCGTCAAGCCTCACGGTTTTCTCTTCCCGGTTCCTCTTCGTGTTCTTCACAATAATCTTTTTTCTTCTTTTTACTGTCTTTCCATCCCCTTTCTCTGTATTTTTTTATTAGTATTTATAGTTTTTTTAGATTAGGGTTTTACCAATTGCTGTTATGAATTGTTTAGCATATCTTAGGGATTAGAGATAAGTTAGGGATTAGGGATTTCTGTAATTGATTCTGTTGAGTTTGTAAGATTGGCGATTTGTACTATAATGGATTCGGATTTGAGTGTAATATATTAATTTTCTGTAAATAGAGATTTTTGGATTTGATTTTAATTTTCAGATTTGCTTGATTATTTTGGATTTGATTTAGTTATTAGCTTTGGAGATTTGATTTTGTTTGATTTGAACAGTTGCTGTTAGTAGCAGAACAACGCGTTGATTAATGGTTTGATGGGAACAGTTGTTGTTTTATGGATTCTGGGCCTTGCGCATTAATGTTTTATTATCAGCCCAATAAATCTATTTTTTATCACAGCAAGGACGTTTTAACCACTAGGCCCAATCGGCCTTTCCCAAAAAATATAACATTTGATCAGAAAACAAATTTAAACCCAATTTTGTCAGTAATAAAAAATGCATCAAGTTTTCTTTTGAAAAAAAATTATTTACTTATTAAAATAAGAACAGTAAACAATTTTCTTTTAATAATAATATTTATTTTCTTTTCTTTTTTCATTAAAACAAAAACAACAATTTTAATAATAATATTTCTTTTCTTTTCTAAACAAAACAACAACAAGATACCAAATGGGTTAAAAGAAACCTTAATGGGCCTAGTTTGTAACAAATCTCCAACAAAATAAATAAATTTTGCAAACATTTTTTAACAAAAACAATTTATCTCCTTTTTAATAACAAATAAATTCCTTTAGCCAGATTGGGCCCAGTACTGACCCGCTTTTTCTTAACAAAAGATTTTGAAAAATGACGTTCTCTCTTAAAAAACAGTAAAAATGACAAAAAATTAATTGGGCTTGATGAAATGGGTCTTGAATACTGTAGTTTCATTTTTCCCTTTACTGGAAACAATAAAATTAAAAACTTAATTTCTCTCTTGAAATAATTTTCATTTTTGAATCACATGGGCCAATGGCCAACATGCTTCGCAAATGGATACACGAGTCTTTCTGATTTAGAAAGCCCCACTCTCCTGGAGTAATATACACCCTCTAATTGACTTAAATTTAAAAATGGGCCAACATATATTGTTGTACCACCCTTAATTAAATATTTCTTCTACTTTAATTTTGAAAAAATAAAATCATCGAGGTAGGGAAATTTGGGGTACGACAGCTGCCCCTATTCAATTATCTTCCAATCGAATAGCGTGGGAATACGCGAGTGTTGCGCATTTTTATTGGGAGTTTATTGAATACTTTGAATACCCTAACATTTGTCCGAAAAGCATAAGGTTACGCTGATATAGCGTACCCTTAAGAGTCTTGAGAAAATAGGTGAAGCTGATGATATATCACTTACCGTGGTTTGACGACGAGGCATATGTTTTTGAATTTGAGAGCGCAATTCTGTATGTCTTGATTTGGTTTTGCTTGCTCATCCATTTGGAGGGATGAATGAAACAACAATTGATGATGCATGGCTTCTTGGAGACTGAGGCCATGGGTTATGTTCACGAATCGCAGTATGACGTCTTAGGCAATAAGCTAGATTTTGTTTTCGAGCATCGCTGCATGAAGTCTGGGGCGATGGTCTGTATTACGTTGCGAGGAACCGCACTTCTACATGATGTCTTAGGCAGTGGGTTGGATGAGGAGAGTACATTGAGGCTTAGAGGCAATGTACCAATTTTTGTTTTTTCCGAACATCGCTGCATGTTGATTTAGGCGATGTTTGGGTTGCGGAATAAAGGAGCACATTGCTGCCCGAGGTCTTAGGCAATGATCTATATTATGTCGCGAGGAACCGTGCTGCTGCACAATGTCTTATGCAGTGGGCTGGATGAGGAGAGTACATTGAGGCTTAGAGGCAATGTACCGAGTTTTGAGAATACATCGAGGCTTAGAGGCAATGTACCGAGTTTGGAGAGTAAATTGAGGCTTAGATGCAATGTACCAAGCTAGGAGAATACATTGAGGCTTAGAGGAAATGTCTCGAGTTTGGAGAATACAATTAGGCTTAGAGGCAATGTACCGAGTTTAGAGAATACATTAGGGCTTAGAGGCAATGTACCGAGTTTGGAGAATACATTGAGGCTTAGAGGCAATGTACCGAGCTAGGATAATACATTGAGTCTTAGAGGCAATGTACCGATCTAAGAGAATACATTGAGGCTTAGAGGCAATGTATCGAGCTAGGAGAATATATTGAGGCTTAGAGGAAATGTACCGAGCTAGGGGAATACATTGAGGCTTAGAGGCAATGTACTGAGTTTGGAGAGTACATTGAGGCTTAAAGGCAATGTACCGAGTTTCGTTCCTTATTGCATGAAGACTTAGGTAATGGAGCGTCACAGCATGGAGATCTAGGTAATGGAGTGTCACGGCATGGAGACTTAGGTGACGGGTTGAATCACAGGAGATGTGTTTTGTCGACTGGCCCTTAGATGATTGAATGGAGGGTAAGATGGTTTGTTTGGTATGTGATATAGGCATATGATGTTTGGTATTGAGATGGAACCCTAAGTGTGTGCATGTTTGTATATGCAAAATTCCTGATGTTTGACAATGATATGGAATCCTGCATATGTGAAAATGTATAGTGTAAGTATGCTTTGGATATGCGAAATGTATGTACGAAATGTGTATAAAATGTGTGTATGTCTTGAAATGTTATGGAGACCATTTCTGGCATTCTCTCCTTTAAACCATTGGTTTTGAATTACCAATTCCCTGGCGTTGTATATTGCATTACGTAGCATGGTTGAATTTGATTTGCAAGTGTAAAAAAGGTTAGAAAAACTTTGAACATTGATTGTATTGTAAGCGCCGAGGTAGACATAGACGTATGTATTAGACACATACTTTTTGAGTTGTGAGTGTAGACATAAGCGTGGACAGATTCATAGACTTTGTGTTGCAGGTGGAAGCATAGGCGCAGACATGTGCATGGACGTAGACGTAGGAGTAGACATATGCATGGACGAGGTCGTGGATTTTCTTTTTATGTTTTTCTAACCAAAATGCTTTTTCGATGTTTTGTCAAATGCTTTTATTTGTTAATCCCCGAAATGATTTCAAGACAATATTCACCAACAATAATCATAGTACTTTATAAACAAGTCATAGAAAAGAAAAATGCAATTTGAAAGATGCAAAGAAAGCATGTGTTTTATAGATATGCCTCTGAGTAGGAGAGAATATAAGATTCAATTCCTAGAAAGAGATAATTACAGAAAGTTTTAAAACTGTAAATGGCAATGAAAAAATGATAGTTGATGTTGTTGTTTCCCAATATCCTTTTAATAGCCCTTATCTCCTTCTCTTCTGAGTTGTATGATTTAGATCTATCTCTCCCTTCGTGGTTCGTAGTCGCAGTTCTTAGATCGCAGTGTTTTTGTTCTTTATTTCTTTTTGAATGACCCCTAATTTTTGCCTAGATTTCCCTTTCGGGTTTTCAATCCACCGGGGTAGTTGTTTTTGTTATATGCCCCTAATTTTTTCCTGGATCACCCTTTAAGGTTTTCGATCCTCTGGGACGCTCCTTTTTTCCTAAGTCGCCCTTTTAGGGTTCGAGCTTAGCGATCTTTTTATACATAGTATTTTTTGACTGTGTTCGAGTTTGCCGAATGCGGTAGTTCTTCCCCATCCATTGTTGTGAGGATAAGACCACCTCTGGAGAATGATGTTTTGACTACGTATAGACCTTCATAGATAGGTGTCCATTTACCACGTGAATCGAGGCGAGGTAGAAGAATCTTCTTGAGCACTAGATCCCCTTCTTCGGATATTCGAGGACTGACTTTCTTGTCGAAGGCTCTCTTTATCCGCTTCAGATGTAGCTGGCTATGGCACAGAGCTGTCACTCGTTTTTCTTCAATAAGGTTAAGTTGATCGAGCCGTGTCTGCACCCATTCTACTTCTTCCAGCTTTGTTTCCATTAGAACCTGAAGTGATGGTATCTCGATTTCAACTGAAAGTACTGCCTCCATGCCATATACCAGCGAGAAAGGAGTCGCGCCTATTGATGTGCATACCGAAGTGCGGTAGCCATGTAGAGTGAAGGAAAGAATTTTGTGCCAATATTTGTATGTCTTCACCATCTTCTGGATTATTTTCTTGATATTTTTGTTGGCCGCTTCGACGACCCCGTTCATTTTTGGTCTGTATGGTGAGGAATTATGATGTTCGATTTTGAAGTTGTCGCACAGTTCCTTCATCATTTTGTTGTTTAAATTCGACCTGTTATCTATAATTATCCGGTTTAGGACACCGTATCTGTATATGACATTCTGCTTGATGAAGCGTGTAACCACTTGACTTGTCACGTTGGCGTAGGATTCCGCTTCTACCCATTTAGTAAAGTAGTCGATGGCTACCAGTATAAAACGGTGTCCGTTGGATACTTTCGGCTCGATCATACCAATCATATCAATTCCCCACATTGAGAATGGCCAAGGGGAGCTCATGATGTTCAGGGGAGTTGGTGGCATATTTATCTTATCAGCGTAGATCTGACATTTATGACACGTCTTCGTGTAGTGATAACAATCGGCTTCCATTGTTAACCAATAATACCCTGCTCGCAAATCCTTTCTAGCCATGGTATGCCCATTTGTATGAGTCCCAAAAGTACCCTCGTGGATTTCTCTCATAAGCGTATATGCTTCTTGCTTCTCCATACACCTGATTAGTACCATGTCGTAGTTTCTTT